CCCGACGCGAGGTATGGGGAGACTGCCCATTGATAAGGAGACAAAGCACACTCGCACTTTTTGCCATTCAGAAATATTTTATATTGCCTATCTCTCGAAATGGGAATTTCGAACATGAACGGAACCGAGTTCACAGAAACCCCAGCAAAACATCCAGTAAGTGCTTTGCCAAGACCATTACTATGTTGGAGTGATCTAATGTGCTATAGGTTTGGAAGCGATGGGTTCGCTTCAGAGCTGAAGATGGTAAAATATATGGTGGGGAGCCGGTGAATCCGGATATTGATGGTATGGCATACTCTCAAGTTCATGAAAGCTCAACCCCTACTGACAGACTCATAGTGGGTCAGGCTATAGAAAAGAATGCCGAAGTACCAGTCAAAGTCGTGGCTGGTAACTCAGCATTCGATTATGATGCTTTGTTCACGGGTGAAATCAAAACCATTGATGAACTGCTATCCCCGGTCTCGCAAATTGAAGCTGGGGCTGTTCGGTGCATCGGCTTAAACTACAAGGAGCACGCAGCCGAGATGAAGCTGACTCTTCCAAACACGCCAACGTTAGTATATCTGCCCTTGCCTCTAACACTTGCTGATACCGTTCAGGGTGTTTCTGAAGGCCAGCACTTGCATTGCATCTGCATGCGAACCGATTGTACTTCCTTCCAACGTGGATTACGATGAAGCGGACTATGAAGTTGAGTTGGCGATAGTCATCGGCAGAAAATGCAAAAATGTTTCGGTCTCCGAAGCAGTCGACTATATTCTGGGTTATGCAGTCGCCAATGATGTGACAGCCCGCAAGCATCAAGAGAAGACATCACAGTGGTCTTATGCAAAGGGGATGGTATGTCGATATAGTCAATGTCCAAGATGAACTTCACAACTAACCTCTAGCAGGATGGGTTTTGCCCACTCGGTCCATGTATCGTATCTACAGAACAAATCCCGAATCCTGCAGTCTTGAACTTGAAGACCCGTCTCAATGGAAAGATCATGCAGAATGAATCCGCCGATGACATGATCTTCAACGTGCCAGAAATTGTGTCCTATGTTTCTCAGGTACATAATGACATCATCTCTTTTACGCAGATATAACTAACTCAAGTATTAGGGCCACACATTACTACCCGGGACCGTCATCATCACCGGAACGCCGTGTGGCATTGGTATCTCACAGAGCCCACCACAATTCCTCCAGCCTGGAGATGAGCTGCGAATAAGCATAAGTCATGGGTTAGGCACTCAAATATGCCCGATTGTGAGAGATTGAGCATTGCATCAATCATATGTTTTTGATCCGAAGGTGATTGCAGGAATGAAGTCGTCGTGTTACGTACTTTGAATTGGGCATGGTTTCTTATATTTTATAAAGAAAGGCAGCATTATATTAGGCTCATCTACAAAATTGTAGCAATTCATGAAGGCATATTTCACCAAGTGATTCAAGCTGAAGGTGTCGATAAATAGATAAAGACATTTCCTGGGGAGCAGGATCCTAGACCAACGCTGTGCCTATCCCATAATTGTTTCCAAATTCAAATCCATCATAATATCCAACCAGAACTCTTCTACACCAGAGTCCGCACGGTCCCAAGTCTCGTGCACAACGTTAACAATCCGTTGCATTGGCAGCTTTGGTAAGATTAAAATAAGTTCAGACAACCGCATTTTAACCTTTCGTCTGGCCTGGGCAATTTCAACGTCCAGCGTATTCAGACTGGTAATTGAATTTCCTGTGGCGCCCAGAACAGACCCAGACGAGAAAACAAGATCGCTAGAGATGCAAGCTAAAACTACGGGCTGCAGAACCTTCGTTCCAGATGTTGAAGGAAGCTGCCCCAAAAGGGATACAATGTGCAATGCCAGGGTGTGTCGTGTGTCTTCCACCGAACACGACGACCATTCGGTAGCTATTGGAAACAACAACAAAAAGAGGGCCGGGATAGGACTTTCCCCATCTGTGGTTTGATTACTTCGTAGTCGTTCTTCAAGGATGTCCGGGAAAACATGGTAAATTTGTAATAGTGCCGTACAGCGATATGCCTCGGCTAACGTAAGAAAATGAGACGGGGGCGTGTTCGTATCACCGATATCGACAGGCCCACAATAGAACGAGAAGCCCGTGAAGAGAATTTTGTCCTCAAGATGTTCGGCTTTCTGTCTGAGATCGAGTTCCTCGGCCATGGAGCTCAAGTCAATCAAGGTGGGATCCAAGGCCTCTGGTCTTCGGCGGTGGGAGGTTCTTGCGGCTCGAATTACTCTCGCAGTCCGATAAAAGAGGCTCAATGCGTATCTGAAAGACCCTGTCCACGGGTGTGGTAGGATCTGCCCATCGACAAGATAGACTGAAAGATCTGTGTCGCTGTTTTCTATAGAGCTTTCCACGTCTACAATAGGCGACTCCTCTGCCACAAAGGCAGCTAGTAAGTTCCACCAAAGGAGACACTGTTTGAAAAGTGGATGTTGTTTTGCGAGGGCAGAATTTGCATTCTTGCACTGGCGTTCTTGTCGCATAAGATGGTCTTGGGCCGCTCTCAGATATGGCAGCCCCAAATCAGAAGCATCGTGCCACCCAGTGGTGGATCCAATCATGAGCAGTGCGAGGAAGTACTCATCATCCTTTGCCTGAACTGAACTTTTTTGAGCACTAGTATTCAGACACGCAATTGCTTGCTGTTGTGTCTGTATTCCAATTGGTCGCATGTTGGGAAAATCGTTGGCCAACGAGGCAGCTGACATGCTCTGGATGGCGAAGTAAATCGCCGCATTTCGACTCCAAAGCCGACTCACAATAGTTCGAAAAGGATTGAGGGGACAGTCGAAAGATGACCATTGATTACAGACTGTATGAAAGTAATATTGCACCAACATTACTGGTAGTTGGATGAGAAAAGAGGGGACGGATGTGTTGACCAGTCGTTGACGCAAAACCGACAACCCATCTAGTTCGGCATCAGGATTCGTTAAGCCCGTATCATTAGATCGCAGCTCAGTGTAGAACCAGGCATCTGTTGGCTCATCAAAATCCGGCAGCTGATCAAAGAGGTTTGAGCAGGTCGTATCCCATATACTCGGGGTTCCATTTTGAAGATTGTCTCTTTCATCCTGTGTTGGATTGTTCACTTCGAAAAGTTCGGTCGCAACCGTTTCGGGAGATTCAATCTGTGCAGCTGGCTGTTTTGGCTCTTCGCTGCCTTTGAAAACATATCGCCACTGCAAGCTCTGCTTTTGGTAACCGGGGCATGTGTGTCCTCGCTTGGTACATTCCTGACAACTTGGCTTTGCCTCGTCACATCTGCGCTAGATAAGTATTACTATATGAAATTTCAAGAGGCCTTCGTAGGTGAAGGATAAATTGTGTTGGTAAGAAAATCTTTCACCTCGACTTACTCGCCGTTGCTTGCACCTTTGGCAGCCCCCTTTTGACTTTGGTCGGCACCGGTTGGGATTCTGCCTTTTCTTCTGCGGAGTTGATTTCTCTGTATTTTCCATTCTACGCAAAGCAAAGTTATTGGGAATGTTCTTCGCTGAGAGAGGGGGAAACATCAGGCTGAGATATCGGGGCATCGGATGAGAAGCCGATCAAAGGATTTGAAGACCGGTGCATGAACCGAGATCCGATCACCTGCCGATAAGCAACGCCTCATCTCTGCTGATATTCCTCCCGATTTGATTGAAGCTGAATTGTTGAGGTTGTCTAAGTGATAACTATTTCCCCGCACCTTCCTTTTGCTCTACTCTAAAAAAGGATCAGCAACACGCGGTTTCCTTCCCTTAATGCGAACTAGCGCCTCCTCTATATAGCATACGTGTTGATCAGCGTGTCAAGCATTTGCAGCAAGGAATTTCTCATTCGGGGAATATCTTGACCTTCGGGTCATCAGCCCCTGAGTTGGCCCGGAGAGATGTATGCCACAGGTCATATATGTAGCTTTCACTTCAATGACATCAAGTACAAGTGCTTTAAGACACAACTTGCATATAAGGGGTATGTGTATGTGCATATGCATATGCTGGAGTTGATATGATAGAGATTTCAAAAAACACGGCATATTCTGACACAATGCTTGGGAAGAAGCCTTTGACTACTCTTGATGGAAAAAAACAGAATCCATATTCCAACTCTCCGTCAATGGCAACTTGTTTTTCAGTTGGTTTCTCTCCGCACCGTATCATGACATCATCTATGCGGAGTAGTCCATGTTCTCTCATCTTAGCTTTCTCCGTATTGTGAGGGGAAGTTTACCGGATATCTCTAGCCGTTAAGATCATTGATGTTATGATCATGGCCTCCCGGTTCGGATATCTGGCAATATATTTTATCAATACCAACTGCCGAGCTGCCCATTGATTAAAGTCACCTATCTACGCTTCCAGCCAATCAATACCCATCGCTACCCATATATCTCTCACAATTCCAGTCCTATAGGGCTCGAGAGGGGATTCCGGATCATCAGGACCTCGTGATCCACATGGAGTCCATATTCGGATTAGCGTAGCCGCCGTGCATAAGCGTCAATACTCTAACCTATCTCGTACTAGTGTTGGTGGGTAAACAGGAGAGGATCATCGATGTTTCAGCTGAGACCTATTGTCGGTCCAATCTCACTGCTCGTCTTATCTTCACGTCATATGTAATTGCATAGGTGCCCAGATAGAATCCCCAGTTAAACGTTATCTCGGCATAAATCCATTTCTCCACTCGGTGGATACCGTGTTTGGGAACTTGCTCCGGGGAGATATGGAATAACAGATTGAGTGAATTTCCTCCTCACTCGTAAATATGGTCAGTTTTATGAATATCTGCACCTCCCCTCACCAGAATAGGAGATAAACAGCCCGAATTCCTAATGCTTATTGCGTCCGAAAATTCCTCTGTAGGTTTTATCCAACTATACCCAAGATTTGACTATTTGAAACTTACCCTTGTTATATCTTTTCATCCTAGAGGATTATTCACTCTTTCATTCCTCATCCCGCTTTTGTTAAACCTCGATCATGGCAGACGATGCTACTGCCAACCAGCGTCGTTCTTCAAAGAGCAAAGGCTCCGAGGCCTATGCACCTGCGGAATACCCTAACATCGAAGAAGGCAAACAATCGTCAGCAAATGGGGTACTAGAAGCCCTGGGCTATGAGCCTGAACTCATTCGAAACCGCTCCACGCTTCAGGTGGCCTTCATGTCCTTTGTGCTCGCAGCAATTCCATACGGACTGGCTACGACTTTCACCTACCCTCTTGTTGGGGGAGGCCCTGTCAACATAATCTGGGGATGGCTTGCCGTTTCTTTGATTACGCTATGTGTGGCTGCTTCACTTGGCGAAATCACCTCAGTCTATCCAACTGCCGGAGGGGTCTACTACCAGACTTTTATGATATCTCCACCGTCATATCGAAGAATCGCCTCGTGGATTTGCGGATGGTCATATGTTGTTGGAAATATCACCATCACGCTTGCAGTCAACCTTGGGAGTACTCTATTCCTCATTTCATGTATCAACGTTTTCGAATCCTCTCCAGGAGTAGGAATCTTCGAAGCGGAAACGTACCAAGTTTTTCTTATATTTATCGCAGTCACATTTCTCGCTAACGCAATATCGACATATGGAAATGCATGGCTGCCTTACCTTGACGTATGTCTAAACCATAACCCTTCCAACATCGCTTGCTAATACAGAAGCTAGACATTCGCAATATTCGTGACATTTATAGGAGTGTTGGCTATTGTGATATGTGTTCTTGTGGTTGCGAAAGAGGGTAGACATGACGCCAAATATGTTTTTACTAGTTTTGAGCCGATATCTGGCTGGCCAGCAGGCTGGTCTTTCTGCGTCGGACTTTTACAGGCAGCTTATAGCACTTCTTCCACTGGTATGGTGATTTGGTATGTAACATGTTTTGTTTTCCCACCCCAGATGACTATCTCCCATCTCATTTCTACTATGAAACCCCTATATCTGACGCGTCAAAAGTATGTGTGAAGAAGTTCAGCAACCATCAACACAAGTCCCAAAAGCAATGGTTGGAACGGTCATTCTAAATACCCTCGCCGGGTTCCTCTTCCTTATTCCATTGGTTTTCGTGCTCCCCGACACAAAGGTTTTAGCAGCTCTCGAATCCGGTCAACCAGTTCCGAGTATTATCAAGTCCGCTGTTGGAAGTTCAGTTGGATCATTCCTGCTTCTCCTACCATTGATATTGCTCTCGATGTTCTGTGTCATTGGCTGTACTACGACCGTCTCCCGAAGCACCTGGGCGTTTGCTCGCGATGGAGGTATACCAGGCTCCAGATGGTGGAAGCAGGTAAACAGAGACGGCGTACCTTTCAATGCTATGATGCTTGGCATGGTTATTCAGATATTGCTTGGCTTTATCTACTTCGGGTCAACTACTGCATTTAATGCATTCACAGGCGTCGGAGTTATTACCTTGACTGTCAGCTATGCTTGCCCAATCGTTGTGTCTCTTGCTGGAGGTCGAAGACACATAAAGAATGGCCAATTCGATCTTGGCACACTCGGGCTGGTTTGCAATATTGTGACATTGGGTAAGCATGCACGATGTGGGCACGATTTATCGCTATCGCTAATGCATATTCTAGCATGGAGTCTTCTTGCCATTCCGCTATTTTGCATGCCTTCTTCAATCCCCGTCGCTGCCGATACGGTCAACTATGCACCGGTGGTGTTTGTTGCATTTATACTAATTGCTTCTGGATGGTACTGGGTTTGGGGCTACGAGAAGTATGTTGGGCCGCCAACAATGGACGATGAGTTTCGCTCATCAGACTTGTAAAGTAAGAGATTTGGAGTAAGAAGCTCCAACATAAATCTGAATTCGAAATCTATGTGTATCTTTTAAAGATGGCCCAGACCCCTGAAGACCAGGGCCCGGGCTAGGCCCTGCGCCCTAAGGTGGGCACCCGGCCCCGGCCCCGTAGCTTTCGGCTGACTAATATTGGTCCAACCAAGGTTTATTCCCGCTCTCTTGGTTTCTGCCAAAACTACTCTCCCAACTTCAAGTCAACGTTGAAGTAATACTCTGACCCTCTATTTCCTGACATATTTGACTATGGAACCCCCAAAGAAACTCAAACTTGCAAGTCTAGGTAGCTCCTTTGCTGCTGGTCCTGACATTCCCCCACAAATCGAACCACGTGCAGCGTTGCGATCAGGACAGAATTACCCCCATCTTCTGGCGCAGCACTTGAACGCTGATCTCACTGATCTAAGCGTTTCTGGTGCAACGTTGCTCAACATAACAGTCGATCCACAGTCTACTCCGTTCAACATGACCTTCCCACCGCAAATCTCCGACCTCCCCGAAGACGCCAATATCGTCACCGTGACCGCTGGAGGAAACGACATAAATTACATTGGCGGCATGATCGCCGATGCTTGCGATGCTGAGCTCCAATCTTCCGCGTCACTATCGCCCAGCGAATTGGCAGAACGACTAGCGGGGGTCGTTGATGAGATACACAAACGGGCCCCGAGGGCTCGAATTTTCCTTGTTGAATATCTTGCTGTCTTGGGGCCTGGCACTCAAGCTGGTCGGGATATCCCGCTGACCCAGGAGAGAATTCAGCATTACCGCGGTGTTGCGTCTGTTCTACAACATGCATATTCTGTCGCTGTGGAAGGTCGAACCGATTGGTGTGAGACAGTCCCAATTCACCAACTCAGTCAGGAACATGCACTTGGTAGCAAAGAACCCTGGGTTGGAGGGTTTGCATCGGGGCCGCTTCTCCATCCGAATCTTGATGGGATGAAGGCCGTAGCGGATATACTAGCTGAGACTATTCGCAAGAGCACATTATCCAAAGCATTGTTGTGAATGTACTCGTTAATCAAGCAGATGAGAGCAGGTTTGAGCTAGCACCATCATCGTGATCACCCGATTATATCATGCTCGGATCGTCCTTTACCACATAATACATAATACTATTTCTTCGTTAAGACCACGTCAAATCTTGCTTTTTTCGTCACACAAATGACAAATAGCATCAGCTTTCACATCTCCATAATCATGACCCGGTAAGTGTATTGGGGCTCCTAACCAGGTGAAAGCTACCAATCAGAATCCTGCAAGGGTCTTACGTGTGATCTGGCGTAACCCCGCATTTGGGGTGAGACGGGAACGCCGAGAGCTTCTTCCCAGCCCTCTGGTAACTCAAGCCTTCTTATAGACAATCAACATTGGCCCTTGCTACTCACTTTAACCCTTATAAAGATCCCTAGAGAAGAACAAGGACGCTTGCACGACTGATACGCTTGTAGCATCGAATTTTCGGTTGTAATCAGGCAGTGCAAACATACGATGCGCATATTTGTCGACTGTCGGTCAAGGCCATGCATACGCGGCACTTGTCGCCCGTATAGCAGACAAACACATAACCAATAGGACGAGATTTGCCTTGAATGACGGGCGACCTAGTCGAGTAAGCAACCAGTAGTGCTAACAAATCCAAGCGGTCAATGCGAGCGTTGCCCTTGCTGTCTTGAGTCATGTATAACGTGAATTTGATGGTTTCTTTTGTCAATATGGCCTACATTATGCTGCGCGTTTTAGCCAGAAGAATTAGCCAGAAGAAAGAAAGACATAATACACAGTATTTTTAATATACAACGTCTTTATTGTCGGTCACTCAAGTCCTACTTGAATTACATCCGGAAGTATCTCTGTCGGTCCGAAAACCTCGGGAAGTCATCTTCCGGGTCCACGGCAGAAGCGAAACAGTCTCTTCAAATGCATCCGCGAGTTTTGTTACAAATTAGAGTGTATTGACTGCCACTTATCAATTGGTATTTTGGTAGACCACCCCTCCAACAAGGCCGTGATATCCGGAACCTCGACACCGTTCCTCTCCCCGCCGAGCTGGAGGAGCGTGTACACCTTGCGTGTAGACCTGACAAACACTGGACAGGTATACAATAGACTGGGATCTCCTTCTTACTTAACAGAGCTATTCCGCGGGCCACTTCACATGGCCGGATATTCTCGCAACATAATCATTCCAGACGAAGAAGCCTTTTGCAGCAGCAGCACCTCGGCAAGGTACAACATAATTGAACGCGCTTGGCGCCTTGGCATAAAAAGATCATCATCGCTAGCTCTATTACTGTCTACAGCGTGAGTTATGCAGTGTGAGACGTAAATTATTCTCTTTCCCAGTCGAAGAAACCGCCGACGCAAAAACCAATAGACACATACGCCATCTCGAAGGTGTGCGGTGAGAACATTGCGAGTGGCTTCGCGCGCCGATGTGGAATCGAGTCGCGACATCTATATCCTGCGCATTGGCCTCATTGTGGCCCCGGAAGAGTAAAGACAGGCTATGTTCCGATCATACGTTGAAAATCCTGAGCGCTGCATGGCTGAGCATATATCGATGATCCCGATCTCGGGTTGCCGTTGGGGTTCAGATCTTTAACGCTGTCAATGATGCCATTACGAATTACGAGAACTTCCTGGCGCGGGTAGAGAGACTGCCCATCGGTAATCAGAAAACCAAGTTGCTTGTGCTAGCGAAGAGCATCATTGGACGAAGTATTATGAATGAAGAGAAATCAATTCTGATTCGTCATGTTCGTAACAGGGGCCCTTGTCTTTCATACAAATGATCGGGGCTAGGGCTATGTTAGTAAGCAGATCACGCGCCAGTTCCCGATGACATCAGCCTCGCTTCGAGGACAACGCTTGGCCAAATCAGGGAGGTGATATTCTCTCCACGTTGCAGCGGTATGTTCTGGCCTGTCTTTTTCAAGTTCAAATACGAGGTCCGCGCTGTCATATGCGACCTGGAACAAAGGATGCAAGGACGCAAGGCCCTCTAATTCACCGGATGGAAAAAGGCACCTATGCCGCTAGTAAACAAGTTTTTCTCCGTGGCGCAATGAAGCGGGCTATGATCCTGGCTATGAGGCTAGAAATGTTCGGCAAGCGGGTTGCTTACCATTTAGCCGTGGCTTTTTACCGAGATACTTTCAATATCTTGCCCCTGAACCTCATCTGGGAGGTTTAAGGTGAGACGTTGAGACGTTGAAATAAGTTCGTCAGATGGTGGAACCTGGAGGCCACGACTTGACAGGTCACACAATATGGCTGCTCATGAGATCTGGAGAGATTTGGCGAGAGAAAAAGAGAGCTCCAATCATGAAGTCGCGGGCTGGGAAGCGAATCCTTTTGTTTTTTTGATCTCTCACTACTATTACCACATACAGCATACATACACCCACATACTTTCTATTATGAATTCATATCATACGTTACTTCTATCCTTACGGGGAGTCTGCACAAGTCCGGGGTACCCCGATCGTCCCCGCATGCAATATACGGCCCCAGCTTCATTTCCTTTGCTTCTTTGTCCTTTTTTAGTATTTTTTCTTTATTTCTTTCATTTCTTTTTCAGGGCTGGGTCTCCCCCAAGTTCCCCCCCCCTTAGATTCTCCTATATCCCACCTCACCCGCATCCACTTACACCTACGACACACGTCATGCTATTCTCCTAATACTGACTCAACGCCATGGGCGATTTCACCGCCGCCGGGGATGGCATCAGCGGTCACTACCAGGGCACCTCCCTAGGCATGCAGATCGCCATCGCAACTCTTGCTGGTATCACTTGGTACAATGCCTTCGAGCTAATGATCCTCCTCTTTGTCACCTTCGCAGAATATCGAGGACTCTACTTTTGGAGTTTATTTATTTCCTCCTCCGCTGGTCTACTTCCTTACTCGCTGGGCTTCATGCTCAAATTTTTCAAAATCACCGAGCATCTTCCATGGCTCCCTGTCACTTTGCTCACAATTGGATGGTGGTCCATGGTCACCGGCCAGTCTGTTGTCCTGTACTCGCGCCTACACTTAGTCCTATCAAACCAGCGAGTCCTGCGTCGCGTGTTGACCATGATCGTGATCAACGCAATCATCCTCCATCTTCCCACTACGGTCCTCACCTACGGTACCAACATGGCTAGCGACGCCACCCTGGGCTCGTGGACGAAAGGCTACAATATAATGGAAAAGATCCAAATGACAGGCTTTTGCCTGCAGGAATTCATCATTTCAGGGCTATATATCTGGGAAACGGTACGCATGCTACGCCTAGACCCGGACCGTACCAAGCGCAAGATTCAGTACCAACTACTGGTCATCAACTTCATCATCATCATTTTGGACTTGGGCCTGCTCGTCGCCGAGTACTTGGACTTCTACATCATGGAAACCATGCTCAAAGGAGCCATATACAGCATCAAGCTAAAGCTTGAATTTGCCGTCCTTGGTAAACTCATTCACTTGGTACACAATCACGTCTGGAAACCCGAATCGTTCTCTGCGCCAAGCGAACTCCCCGATTTTGTCGACGCAAGCCGTGTAACCTCCGATGTGACCCGTGCCGTCCCTGGTGTCGTTCAACGCAGGCCTTCCCGGATGGAAGCTGATGACATTTCTATCGCCTTGTTCGAACATTTACCGGCCGAACGCATACGAACCAATTCCGGCTCATGGAGCAATGAAGCCCGCGCTTATCATGTGGATCACCTCCCGATCGACTTTACCAATTCTCTCTGCCATTATCCGCGTCACCAAAGTCGTCGCGGACTTCTCGAGAAACCGGGATGAGAATAAATCCTGTCACGGCAATATCCTCCGCCTTCTTTTTTTATGAATCGCGGTTCATGAGATACGATCTTCATTCTCCGTGAACATCACACATGGATCAGTCTTCAAACTGGTCTCACCCTCGACATCTCCGAGGAAACTCAAACTTCCCTGATCCAAATATCAGGCCTCGCGCCCAGCTCCAGGATTCACCCAGCGTTGCTGTGCCACAGAGCCAGTAACTTCCTTAATGGAGAATCCATAAATACGCAACTCAGAGAGTGTAGATGTGTATTCATCTTTATTTGTATATAAACGATTCCCTGTAGTTATGTCGATTGCACACTCATTCTCTCTTTCGAATATACAGACCACCTTCGGTTCTGTGTGAATTTATATCGCTCTTCGGTCGTGGCTTCCGTATTACTCTGGGTATTCGTGCAAACAATATTTTGAATTGGGGCGCGCTATAGGCCAATATGGCAGGCTTTCCGAGTATGTATATGTTAACAGTTTCATATAGCTGCATACAGATTCCTAATGATATCTTCAATTTGGAGCCTACTAAATATTATGGTCTAAAACTCTCCGGGTTGGATTTCCATGGATAGAAAGAACTTTAGCCCCGATAAGCTTACTTTGGATAGTTCCAGGGTTCGGATGGTTATAGCTTGAGTTTTAAATTGCCGATGTTCCAAGGTTGGATATTCTTAAGTGAACGCTTCTTGACTCCAGAGATCCTATGCCCTTCCCTAATATCATCATAAATCAAATGGATTAGACTATCAAAGTCAGAGACCGCCTAAGCAAGCACATGCACTTGGAGAATCTAGTCAAAGGTATGTTATATGTCTCAACCGCAATATAAATCAACAAATGCCCGTCGATACAATGATACACGCACAACACAATTCAAAAGATGGATGGAAACGAAACAGCTCATAAATCGTACATAGAAAAAGGAGCTAGAGGCCAGGTTTCTCCTACCACCAGACTCAAGACCTCAAAGTCCCGAGGCTCGAACGCTTAATCTCGAATGCTCGAGACCCCTCAATCAACCCATCAGAGAACTTGGTCACAGCCACCCACGCCGGACTGAACTGTCTTACCTCGTCGAGAGCGGGGATGAGGCCGATTCGGTTATTGTCGCTCCATAGACATGTAATGCGGCCCGTGATGGAGGAATTGCCATCGGCCTCGGACGACTCATGCTTTGAGAAATCGACATCAACAGTCCACTTGTTGTCCCATGTACGACTCCACAGTTGGATCCGGCTCAGACCATCTGGGGACGGATTTATGAAGCGTTGGTCTGGAGCGGAGGAGCCAACCACACTAAAGTCTGTGATATAATTGCCGTCCATGTTGATACGGCAGTTACGCGTGTTTTGGCCTGATACTTCAAAGCGAACAGATGAACTGTCCGATTGAGGGTGGGAAATGTTGAAGGAAATCCAGTCCGGCGACAGCTCGGAAGCCTCGAGTAGAGAGTCGGCACCCTCGTTTGGAAGCGATAGAGATTCAGGACTGGGGACAACATGTGGTATTGGTGCATTCCAGGAGCATCGCTGAACTCGGTTGCTGCCTCGGAAAATCCAATCACAGGCCTCATTTTGGCCTGCTGCGCTGGGGAGCCCGTAGGTAACTTCCTTGACAAATGGAGGCATGCCAGTCAGCGAAGCAGTAGACATCCCATTGTCGAGGTCGACCTCCTGCAGGAAGAACAGTTTCAGGCGATTGGAGTCTGCGAACGGGAAGGCGACAAGGTTGTAGATCAAGGTTCCGATGAAAACAAAGAGTAAGAAGATAGGCAGGTGGTATGTGTAACGGTGGATAAATGGCAGAATAGGTGCAAATAAAAGTACGGTAAGACTGGAAATAAAGAGATAAACAATCAGCTGGGGGTTACCATCCTGACCAGTTTGGCTGAGGGCGCTGGTAATCAGAAGAGCCAGCGGCACGATCAGCATGAGAATCACGGGAGCTGTGATAAGCAGCTGTAACAGCCACGTCCATCGCGGCAACACGCCACTCCACCCCTGCTCGTCCTCATACACGTTTGGATCTTTCTCTTCATCCTCTTCGTCCTGTTCATGAGATCCGCGGTCTACCCCAACGCGGACGTAGTTGGCAAAGGTGGGGCGGTGCCGGCCATGCAAGAGCGATGTTGATTCAGTCAAGTCCTCTTCAGTATCATCGTCCTGGTCCTCATCGCCTGACGTAGCAAGCCGGCTTCCCTGAGTACTAGGCCGTCGTGATTCAAATAATCTAGCAGCGTATTCTGACTTGGTTGGCAGAGAGAACAACTCCAAATAGGAGATCCATGTAGCCAAGAAGGTACCGGCAAAGTAAAAGAACATGAAATAGCCACCAGCGAGCCCTTCCTCGTGTTCATAAACGGTGCCAACTACCATGAGAGACCAGGTAAGAACAAACATCCAAGTCCAGGTATAGACTCGATGAAAAGCTGATGGGCGTGCAAAGTCTGCGATGCGAGATACAAACCAAGCTAAGAATATCCAAGCTGAGATCATCATACTCCATACGGCGTATGAGCTGCTATGGGCAATAAAAGGGTTGACTTTTGTAACCATATAAGCCAAGCCGACAGTCACCGCTGTAGGAATTAAGAGCAAAAACGGGAACCGGAAGAAACCACGCAGACCACGCAACGGGATATTGTCGTCGTTGATCTCGGAATACACCGATGAGCGGAAGAGATACATCTTATCAGCCCTCGAAAGAATGATACTGGTGATAAGTAATGTCAACGGCGCCACAATCAGCAGTGTGACAGACAACGCAAAGAGTGTGTGCAGACGGAAGATGGCAAAAGCACTCCCAAACAGATCGAACCAAACAGCCCGGGTACCTGAGCCGCTAGGCACATTTCCATCGTCGCGGAGATGTCCGTCGAATCGATCAGTAGCGTCAGACAAAAGCTCCTCCGTCGTAGCAACAGCAGTAGAGAGCATGTGCCAAAGCGAGTCGATATTAGTGTGTCGAGCATCATCCTGATCGGTATGATAACGAGCTCTTGGTTCAAAGAAAGCGACATCCAAACCGCGCAGGCCCAAGATACCTTCCAGGACGATGTAATCCGTCTGGCTGCCAATCAAACCCTTTTCGAACCCGTTGGCACTCAACACTGAGCCGAATGGGTGCTGTGATTTCGCATACGCCTGGGTGACCTCCGTATCCGAGCTGCGGAATAATGTAGCACGCCCTCCAGCACCCGCACCTTCCAGGTTCAGGAATGTGTGTGCAAATAGCGCCATCGGATGCTGACTGTACGCGCGTGCGCCGTTCAGATAGTCCTCCTCGCCATTGTTGAAAAGAACCACCAACCCGCGGCGCGGCGCATGGCCCGGCGTCAGGAAGTATTTCACCAGCTGCAGGCACGTTACGACACCAACTCCATCGTCTGTCGCTCCGTACCCGGTCGAAACGCTATCGTAGTGCGCGTTGACAAGTACTCCTCCCTTGCCAACGGGCACTCGTCCGGGAGTCTCCCACCAATTCTGCTTACTATCTTCCGAGCCGCGAATGTAGACCAAGATATTGGTGCCTTCAAAGTAAACACCGACGCTTTTATCGATGAAAGTCAGGTTAGATACCAGATCGTCGAAAACAAAAACATCGGGCTTCTCTTCCTTCGCGTCGCGGTATTCCTCGGTGGATGCGGCGGACTGCTTGATCGCGTCGATGCGTTCGAGCAACCACGAGCGGACCACGTCATTCTGGTGCGAATTGTAGGGGTGAAAGCCTGTTGTCAGGCTTTGGAGATCTTGCCATGCCTCTGTGAGGTTAAGGCCGTTGGGGCTTGTTTGGGGCGCGGGCGGGACAATGTGGTGGATCACCAGCAATGGGATAATCAAGGCGAGGTATACGACCGTGGTGATGATTGTTACTGGCCACGGCGTAAATGCCAGAGGATTTCTGGCCTTCTGGGTAGCCATACCCTGTGCTGTTCAAGCTAAGAATGAATGGGTGGTGGAGGTTGAAGTTGGAGTCGAATTTAAGGCAAATGCGGGGGTGGTACCGTCATTACTTTACATAACTAGCTCATACATCCGTTTATGTACATGTGCAGATCGGCTGCACAAGTCGTGCTACTAACAACAACTGCAGTCATTGATCTGGGAAATGAGTGAAAGAAAGAGATTTGGCTAAATTCTATGCGATTACACATTGACGAAAAAATAACCCAAGTCCGTAACCGCTAGCGTACTAATGCATTTCCCGCAATAACACAGAATGAAGGATAAGGTGATCTTTACTCATATGGGTAGAGATATGTCTGCCTGTTTGATCTAGCTAAAGATCATGGATGAAAGAAGACAGGGAATTGAATAAAAGGAAGAAATGAAATGCGAGAGCCTAGGGCCTGGGCTTATTTTCGACTGCAAAGAAAGGGGTATCGTATCAAGTATTCAAAGTCCCAACGTCGATATAATCATCATCTCCGTCGTTGATAACGGTTGCGTTCATCAGCCCAGTCATTTGGCCTTCATCTTCATCCAGTTCTTCGTCGTCATCGTACATCGTGGCTTCGGCTTCTTCTTGATATTGTGGTTCACTTTGGTTCAGGTAATCCCGGAGTCGATTGACACCATCACCGCTGAACACACAGAAGACGTCCCGTTGTTGTTGCGTGAACTCTGGGGGGGCTTCTCGGCAGAATGCAGTGAGGTTTTCTCGCAAGAACTCTTGGACGCCGGTCAAACTCAAATGGGTCAGGCGTGGGCAGCTATTCAGCAAAGCGTGAATACCCTAAGCCGTAATGTCAGTATTGCATATCGTGTACATCAGGACCTTCGATCAAGACTTACCTTCATTCTCAACTGAACGCAATAACTTAGATGAACACGCTCTAAACTACTGACAGAAGGATGATGGCCCATCTTGGGCCGTGCCAACGCTAAAATACTCTGATCAGTGATAGCCTGACATTTGACGAGCCCGATTCTTCGGAGCTTCGGCAAGGTTGCCAATTGCTGCACACTAAGGTCTGTGAGGAGGTTACAGCAGGCCAGGTCGATGTATCGAATGCGGTTGCAAGACTTGACCAGGTTTATCACGGCCGAGTCGGAGATGTTTGAACAGTGGCCCAGGTGCACATAGTGAAGGTTCTTTCCTAGCCTGCAGATAGCCATCACAGATCGATCTGTGATAAATCGGCATTTGGCCAGTACGAGATTCCGCAAACGAGGAGCTGCACGCACGATCCGCTCAACCGAGTCATCCCTGACATTCTCGCAAGCGGTGAGATCGAGGATGCGAAGACTGTCAAAGGTCATTTGCGGAGGTAGCGACATGAACGCACTGTCGTCGATTTCGGTGCATTGTGCAAGCCGCAGTTCTCGGAGATACCGGAGTGTTGTGAGCAACGGGGTCACTGATAAGCTAGTGACAAGTTTGCAATCATGCAAGTCAATTTCCAGTATAGACGGGCAGTTCTCGGCAAAGGACTGAATTGCCCGATCTGATACATTAGAAACCCCGTTGAGTTTCAACTATTACAATTAGCGTTTGCAGTCCAACAAGATCCCACATATAATCATACCCTTTTGATTTGACGACACTTTTGCGATACAACAAGCAAAGCGTCGTCGGTGACTTTTGAACATCCCGTGATGTTCAGGCCTTGCAGACGGGGACAGTCTCTGGAAACCGTGGCGAGCGTGTGGTCTGTAAGGTGTCGCAATTCTGAAACATCCAGCGCCTGCAAATGTCGGTTCCCTTCCACCAAGTCCGACACACCCTTATCCGTCAAGTTCTTGCAGCTTGTCAACGTCAGCCGCTCAATGCGCTTGCACTGATTGAAAGAGACGATAGTTCCATCGCTAACATCATCGGACAGAGCAGACAGATTCAGTCTCTTGATAAGGTCTGCGTAGTTGAAAAGACTGTCCGGTTTTCCCAACGACGTAGTTACGCTTCTCACATTGCTCCAGGTGTTACAAGTCGGTCGGTGCCACAGTATCCCTACAGAGTTTGCAGCCCATCCGCGACACACCAGCATGGAATTGAGCATATCTAAGGGCGCAACCAATTTCGAGAAAATCGCGATCAGAATCTCGGGTGGGAGGCGACCGATCGGCGGCAGTGGCTGGGATGTTTCACTTGACAAACGAGAATCGCGGAAATTGGCGACACCGATGGAGGATTGCGAGTCGTTGGCCTGGGCCATGAAGAAATCGGTGTCATCATCGGCGACACGTTCGGGTGACGTCGATCCAGACGTTTCGGAAGGGGCTGCACTCGAGCACCGACCGTCTTCTCGTAGTCGATGCATCTTAGTCGGCGTAGATTCGCTTTTTGAGGTTCGCTTCAATATGTTTTTTGGGTGTCGGTAAGGTTGAAATCTCATAACTCAGGGAACTTTGCATGGACAGTGCATGTGAGACTGGAACTGGCAAGTCCGGTCCACAGATGCAGCCAGTCTTTGTTCAGTCAACGGTCCTAAGACTTTGTTTTGTCTGAAGACTGGTAGATGAATGTAATTTTCGGGAAATATCTGCAGTAAGGTGGGTGCACGAGGGATGTAAGCGTGGTTTCGCGGCGCGTATTTGGATGGCAAGGGGAGGTGGACAAGTGCAGATCGTTCAGAATAAAGTTGAGGCAAGCTAGATCATGGCCCCATGCACCCCTTGGGTAAGATGCAAATGCGTAACCAGGAAAATCAATGCAAGTAAATGTGAAGGGATAAAAGCGGCGATGGAGGGGGGATGAGGCAATGGGGCCGGGTTTCACAGTGCTGTGGAGTCAGTGCCAAGCACTGCTTATCGCTCGATAAGATGGGAGATGGGGTCTGAAGTTAGTATAGCCAGCCCTTTTGGTTATGGAACTTGCATGTAGACTCTTTATAAGGATTCGAATGGCTTATTGAACCAGTTAATATTAGAAGTATTCAAGGTCGCTTGATGTGACCCCGTGCTTGATCTACGATCGGTTTACTCAATGCGGGAATACCGGACATCTGACCTCATTAGGATGTAGAGGAAGCCCTACTTTCTTTCAGAACTTTTCCGACATGTATTCAAAGTGATCTAATAATCTACTTATAAATATATCCATCTCAGTAGTAATCTTCGTCTAAGCTTCTCTCGCACCCTTCACCCAGTCACGCAAGACGTTCTTCCGGATTTTGCCAGTACTGGTCTTAGGTAGTTCAGGGACCACTTCCACTTCTCGAGGAATCATGAACTTGCTGATTCCGCTACTATTTCGAGCCCATTCAATCAACTCTGAGCCTTTCATGTGCTTGCCTTCCTTTACTGTAACAAAGGCTTTAGGTCGTTCGCCCCAGTGGGAGTCAGGAACAGAAACAACCCCAGCCTCCAAAATGTCAGGATGCATGACTAGCATAGACTCAAGTGCAACGGAGGAGATGTTTTCGCCGCCTACGCATTGTTAGCAATCTAGTTTCATGGCAGTTGTCCGCTCGCCACACATACCACTAATGATGATATCCTTCGCACGATCGAGGATCTGAATTGCACCATCGGGATGCCAGACAGCCAAGTCTCCGGAGTGCAAAACACCTCCTGCGAATAATTTCCGAGTTGCCTCGGAGTCCTTGTAGTACCCTCGGGCACAGATATTTCCAACAAAAACAATCTCGCCAATTTCCTTGCCATCCTTGCGAACATCAATGATGGTCCCTTCGGGCACTTCGGTCTTAATGACCCGGCCTGGAAGGCTTGTAATGAAGCCGTGGCCTTGGCGGGCCATCTTCTGGTATTTCTCCTTAAGAGCAAGCTCGTTCCATTCTGGCAAATGGTAGCCCTTGGTGATTGGGCCGTATGTCTCCGTCATTCCATAAACATGTACCGGATGTAAGTTAAGGTCGGTCATTTGTTCGAAGAGAAGAGGTGTAGGTGGGCTTGCTGCCACCGTGACGTGGACAGGCTCGGGCAGTTTCTCTGCTTCTTTCGCGTTGCAAAGCAAAGTGTTCACAGTCGGTGCAGCATTGAAATGGGTGATACGCTCCTCTTTCAGCAACCTCCAGATTTCAGGGTAGTCTATCTTGCGTAGGCAATAATGGGTTCCTCGAACGGCCGTCACCGCCCATGGGAACGTCCAGCCTATATGTATAAATAAAATGTTAGTTATTTAGATCCATTTCGTTACTCAAATGAAGATGATCCACGAACCCATAGCATGAAACATGGGTAGCGTCCATAGATAACGGGCACGTCCATCGTGGTAGTTCAGACCAGTTTCAATGATGTTTGCCATTGTACCCAGATAACAGCCTCGATGAGTGAACTCAACACCCTTGGGACGGGCTGTAGTCCCACTAGTATACGCCAACGCAATTGTCGAATCTTCATCGGCAGCTTGACTCTCGAGTCCTTCCCAGCCATGAGAACCTGTATCGATATCGTGCCTGAGGCCTTCCAAAACAGCTTCATCGAAGGGACCTGTCAGCTCACCCTCTGTTACATCGGTGTCGGTATCGATGATAATATGGATGTGAGGGTATTGGGATCGATAATGCTCTAGAAGTGGAACAAATTCCTCGTCCACGATGATCACTTCCGCATCACCATGATCAAATATATAAGCAATGTCTTCTTGTTTCAGACGATAGTTGACAGCTATAAATGTGTTAGTTTGATTGATCTCTCTCCCCAAAAGCTAACAACTAGCTTACCGATGTTAACAGCGCCGGCTGCGGCAATTCCGAAAATCGACTCAAGGAATGCGGGAGTATTCGGGCACAGTATCCCCACTCTCTTGAATCCATGTTTCTTGAGGTAGTATGCCATACCCCTTGCTCGGTCTGCAGCCTCGCCATAGCTCCTGCGAAGGATCTTATTGTTGGCGGTTACATGGTAGATCGCCTCAGCCTGTGCAACTCTTTGTTAGATTGAAGTACTACCTATGTACCATCTGAAAAGTGCTTACATTAGGTTCAATGGCAGCAGCCCGAGGAAGAAAGAAAGTCGGAGATAGCGTGTGGGTATTCACACGGTGTTCAATCGGGGGCGTTGAACCTGTGAAATGGCCAAGCAGGCCAGACAGGCGAGACTTTGAGCCAGACATACTACACCGTGAGTGTAGATTTATGGAAAAGGGGTTGTTAAACAGAAGAGCTATGTGTGATATCGACGAATGAAGAGGTAATGATTGGAATTATACGGGGAACATCGTAGAGTCGGGAAATGAAATACCCCAGGAATTCCCCAAGTTGGGGAAAATGCGGGGATACCGCTCTAACCTAGGCTATGCGCGGGGTTATTCGGGTATCAGCGGCTTGGAAATGGTTTGATCTACGTTGTACCCTCGGCTTCAATGAATTACATATTATGGATTGGTCTGTCGGTTGTGGTTGTGTGGTGACAAGACCGGCGGTACGGATCCGGAGGGAATCATCCTTAATTTTGGGTGGATTACGTTAATTCATCTTACTCAGGTATCACTGGTCAGTTAGATAATGGATATATTTAGGACATGCGGGGATACACGTAGGGAAGAGGTGTGCATGCTATACTATGAATGGTATAAAAAGTGGTACGTTACAGGCTATGAAGTATATATATAAAAAAAGGATAGGTCAAAGTATTTTTTGATCATAAGAATCATGTTGAACTCTTGAAAATTGTTTCTTTGGATTAAACCGCCACGGCGCGAGTCAACGGCCAGCTATTTTGAACCTTTAATCCCAATCGACTCCGTTTTTTTCGACTTTTGAAAACTTCGAAGACCCCAGTCCCCGAGCCGTCATGTCCGTCACAGACAGTGGTATTCATGAGTTAGGGAACTGGGCTGCAGAACAAGGTCGGCCGGCTTGCCGTTCGAATTCGCTGAAAGAAAACCGTCCGCGATTCCATCCCAGAACCATCGCTCGACACAACAACCAGCCGCGCTAAAGGTATCTAGTAGCCATACTGAGCAAGCTGGGTCTTGGTCTTGCTGTCCACATTCGCACCCTGCTCGGCCTTGGCAAGGACACGACGAGCGGCCTTCTTGCGCTCGTAGTAAGCCTTGCTCTTGACCTTTCGGCGCTCCTCGAGTCTGTAGAAATGTTAGAATTTGTCGCTTGACATAAATCACCTTCAATTGATAAATCTGAGATTGTACATACCTGGAAACAACATCCTGGTACTTCCAGCCAACCTCGTGGCTGAGACGGCCAACGGTGCAGTACTTGCGGCCGGGACGGAGACGCAGGACACGGAGGGCCTGGGGAACAACGACACGCTTCTTCTTGTCGTAAGGAGGGGGAACACCCTCGAAGACCTTAAGGCGCTCCAGAGCGGCGGCACCACGGGCGGTCTTGTGGGGCATCATACCGCGGATGGCCTTGTAGAGGATACGGGAAGGAGCGCGGAAGTGGAAGGGACCACCACGGGTGGGGTTGAAACGAGTCATCTTGCGAAGGTAGGCGTGGTACTTGACTGTAGGGCGGAATTTCGAGTCAGCTCTCTGATATCCAACTTGCAGTACATTTCCTCTGAAAGTAGGCCCAAAACTGCCATCCAAAAACTGCCAGTAGTTTCGATATGCGGGTGTTTTCCGTCGTGTCTTCCCTCCACACTGATTCACACAGTCCCCAAATCACATAGAACGCAAAGGAAATATTCGAGAAGGGGTTGAACGTACGCTTCGCGCGGAAGAACTCGCCGGAGATGTTGAGGGCCTCACATCTCACGACGACGATCTTCTGACCGTTGAGCAGCTGCTTGGCGACAGTGCTGGCCAGACGACCGAGGAGGTGTCCTTTGCCGTCGATGACGACCTATTTCCAAACAATTCAAGTCAGCGATAGATTCGATATGCACACTTTGCAGGCGAGAGTGGCGGCACTCAAGTCGTTGGGTATAAACGTACCACTGATTCAAAGGAGGACATCCTGGTGATCTTATGTCCCGTGGGATGGATGTTGTCGGCGGTTGTTGTCGTGGGTGTCAAGTCGACGCACACAACGAAGTCGGATGGCTCGATGAGAATGGGCTAAGCGAGGGTCCGCTCACTTTGTGTTAATGGCGAGGGTCGCAGCCCTAAGCCTGACCAATCATAGACCGTAAAGGTCACGTGGTTTGTCTCTCCTGGGTCCGCTCGGCATCGTATTACGTAATACTTTTATTTCTCACTGTGCGCCATCATGGTGCTCTTTTCTTTGTGCCGTTAGGGCATTGGCTTAGGGCTGATATACCCTGTTCTTGAAGGTTGCTGTAGATCAAATGATAATCTTCAAGTTGTAAGGGGGGTTGGAGGCTTTGGTATAATTCCAATATTCGGTGAGATTGTTCACGTTATACTAATAGACAACCCGTGGACTATCAATCATCTTTGCCTTCCACGTAAACCTGTCTGTGAAGTAGTATGTCTTATCGTCTTCTCAATTGTCCGATCTAATGATCTAGCCAACTTCAGGTGGGAACGTTGGGTCCGATGACTAAGATATCCATGAACTCGTCCACGGACAGATCTCGGCCATTGTTTTTCTTTTCCCCGAAAGATCTTTCTTCTCACAGAAATAACCAAGGCCAACGAGACTTCCACTGGGCCTCATGTTACACTAATCTTATTCGCTTACGATTCCATCCCACACTCCAACTTGATTTTACGATCTGAGGCAAGGGTTCTTTCTATACTCGGGTCATGCGACAAAAGACGCGTTTTGTCTGTGTCTCTGACACACACGGATATACGCCGTCCGAAGCGGGCTTCAAGCTACCAGCAGGGGATGTCCTGATTCATGCCGGCGACTTGACAAACAATGGAAGCCTGAAAGAACTCCGCAAGACAATAGATTGGATCAGCAAGGCCGACTTTGAAATCAAAATCATAGTTGGTGGTCAGTCATTTAACTTGTTGTACTGGATATAACCCGGCCCTTAATGGCAGTCATATCCTCGCTGCTCGCCAAATTGCGTCATTCATTAGCAGGGAAAGGTCGATTCAGAGCCCCTAACATTTTGACCAGGCAACCACGATGTCACCTTGGACCCGGAATTCTACAGAGAACATGGAAAAAGATTCCATGGCCAGCACCTCGAAGATTCACAACACTGCCTCAAACTCATCACGGAGTCGCCTTCGGTCACTCTACTTCGCCATGAGCCCGCTCTGATTCGTTTAACGCGAGCAGGCGGACCAAACACGGTCTTCAAAATCTTTGGGTCCCCATACTCCCAATCCCAAGGAAATTGGGCATTCGGATACGAATCAAGGAATGCTGCTGCGCTGTGGGGTCAGATGCCAATCGATGCGGATATCGTCGTCACGCATACGCCACCACGATCTCACTGCGACCAAAAGCCGAATGGAATGTTCGTAGGGTGTGTTGCGCTTCGTAGTGCATTAAGCCTCATCAGGCCGCACTTAGCTGTTTGTGGCCATGTACATGAAGGACGAGGATACGAACGAGTTCGCTGGCGAGGCAAGCTTACTAACACAGGGACAGAGAGAGAGACAGAGACAGAAACACAGCTAGAATCTGATTCAGTTGACCAAGTCACTCGGGGAATTCTGCCACCCATGGGCAGCAACAAACAAAGCCTAGTTGATTTGACTGGCAAACGGGATCAACGAATAGACAACGAGGGGTTTTCGTATCCCGGGCAAAGACAGCATGATCTAGCAGAGACTCAACCCGTGTCATCAGCATCACCAGGGTCAGAGTCATCTGCTAGTATTCTTGAAATGGCAGGTCCACGGAACTCGCCGAGCGCTCATCCGTCCCTGGGTACGGGTAGCCATGGCCCCAGTAAACGTGGTTTCGATTACGGCTTGCAAACACTAAGAAAGGAGACCTGCATTGTCAACGCCGCTGTCGTGTCCACTAGCTGGCCGCACCAGGGAGGCAAACGGTTCAATTCGCCGATTGTAGTCGATCTTGAACTTCCCGTGTGGCAGGGAGACCACGCGGTCGCGAATAGGTGAATTGTTTTTCCATAGAATGAAGCAAATTTCGGAAATTACAATTCAGTCGGCCCCATCGATCGTAACGGCAATCTTCCCTTTGCTTTGGCCGTGCATGGTGGCTTGACGCCATTCTCCCTGATACATACAGCAACCTTGTGGGCTTTGGCCCTATTGACACCGGTAGTCGGACGCCTTGATGCATCATGGTTTTAACATTGGTCGGCTAGTGACTTGATGCACGATGCTAACTGACTAGTGCTGTCAGATTGTCTCCGCTTACATCATTTATTAATTTACGCGCATTAGCCTCGGTCAAAGCAACTCGAGGATAATCTATACTACGTACTCTATACCGTAGGGATACCTGTAACATATTCTAATATTCGCTAATTTGATAGAAATAAGAAAAGAAGAAATCACCGCAATTCGCTCTCCTCTCTAACTACACAAACACCAGACTTGCCTATGTTGTAGGTACCCCTCTTGTCTCGTGTATACCCCGCATGCAATGGACAAACACATCTGACCGATCGCAATAACATCGAGCCATATGCACCTGTGATATCACAACTCGAGTTCTTGATTAACACCGTAAGTTCCCAGGTAGTACGATATACACAAGTCACCTGCAACAGAGATCTCCTCAAACTCAAAACTTCCAGAAACCACAGCGCTTCGAAACGACTTCTTAGTGGCCAACTCCCGGGCCGATCAATAGCTCGACCCGCCCTCTCCTTGATACCCGATGTGACCATGCGCGGCCGATCATGTATTATCAATCACCGGAGGTTGCCTAAGTGGGAGTCTGTGTTTGTGACCGGTTCTTCAGCAGGGATTTGGGACTGGGACAGCGCTCACACTCCACCCTCGTGGGAAACACATGCTTCTCGCAAGGGCTGCTGTTTAGGCTGGCGCATTCTTTTCCAGAAGGCGTTGAATGGCTGGACGGAGAGGCCTGGCCATATTTTTATTCTGTACCCCCTACGCACCATGTAATAGCCGAGAGTATTATTGCATGAGAAGGTAGTACTAGACATCATTATTGCAGGCGACTTGCATTGCATCTGCATTTTCCTGTTTCCCGGGTACAAGCCTCCAACCGTTTCGAGCCAATGGTGTATAAAGTGCATTTTAGTACGTAGTTTGCATATCTCGTACGTTGTATGTTGTATGGCTCCGACTGTTCGGTGCGATTATCCTGACGAAACTACAAACACACCATTAATCCACTGCCAACGCCCAATCGTGGACTCACCGACTTCGGTCCTAGTGGGGTTGCGTGACTGTCAGGGAGGGGTATCTGTAGATCACGGTTTAAGCGTATAAGGTTACTACCCTGTGTTTCAGAGGGAGGCATTGTGTGACCTCGCGAGCACAACTGATGGGATCGGAGGATTATGGGTTCGGCTGGTGCAGTCCGGTTGGAAAGAGTGAGAGTCCGTGGTCTAGTCCTGGGGATCGACCAACCCCAGACCGAGGCAAGGTATGCTACAATCACTATCACACAGGAAACTGTCAAATGACAGAGTCAGGCAGATAAGAATAGGAGATACGGAGTATACAGGTACAATATTGAGGCGGAAATTTGAGGCGGAAATTTGAATGGTGGGTCCTTAGGACACCTTAATACTAAATAGAAAGGTACAACATACATGGCATTCTTAGCAAAATGAAGACTATTTAGGCAATATAGTCATAGTAATATGGCGTAACTACCGAGTACGGAATATAGAGTAGTAAGATAATGACATGGTGGTAATGCTGACACGGTGTTCGGTATTTGCATTTCCAACTTTGTCACGATCCGGGCTGGCACATCAGCTCCGTTCAGGCTGTCAGCACCGGTCTGGAAAATGAATGCGCTGCAAAAACCGCAGTCCCGGGTCTAGATGATTTGGAACCAATGGATGGGCCGGACCGTCCGAGACAGGGGAGTACGACGTAGTTTCATCGAGTGTACTGTAATTGTCTCATAGTCTAGAAAGTCAGAGTAATGGTTGGAAGATAGGGCCCGAGGTCTCGGGTGGGGGTTCAACGACACGTTGTCTAGTTAGTCAATGGGCCCGTTGCGGGACAAGTGCCAGCTGTGCCAGCTGTACCAGCTGTTTTAGCTTAGGGGAGATTATTGAGATTATTGGGTGCGAATGCCTGAAGAGTCCGTTACTGATGTAAGATCTAGAGATCCCCGGTAATACCGAGGGCTGCATTCTGATATAAGGTGAGAATCAAATATATACCACATACAGCATACATAGTTATATGAAACAATATCTCACTATATATAGAAACAGGCACATTCTTCAGCGATGGAACGCTTCGGGAAGGTGGGCATTACAAGTCAGGCACTGATTTCGTTACTTATATCTATGGAGTACAGATACAACAGTCACCACCCAATCACACGTTTCAGGTTAAACAAGAGAGTTAGATATGACTGGCTGAGGTCGACAGGCTCAAGACAAGGCGGAAAAAGTTTAAACAGAACCAACTCAAGCCGGATAAAGCGAAAGCAGTGAGGCGACCGAAGCTAAACTGGCTAAAAACCCGCAGGCACTAGTTGGACGAAAGTCGGGGATATGCAGGAGAGACTGAATCGAGAAGAAGAAGGGATTAGCGGCATGACGAGTTCCAAGAGAAGGCAGACCCGATTCCTATGGAATCGAGGGATCATGTCCCTCGTGTTATGTACTTCATCGCCCCACGCAGCAAGCCAAGGTGCTGGTGAGGCGTTGATTGGTAGGAATGCGAGCAAATCGGACGAAGTGCTCAGACCAAGTGAATGTCAGTGGGGAAGAGAATGATTTTTTTGTGATTAGATGATTATTCTGACGAGTAGAGGGAATTAGGATATTAGGTTGGGCATCCTTGTCTCTGAACCTCTTTTCGATGTCTATGTGATTCTTTATACCGCGATATTACATCTCGAAATACCGACCTTCTCTTTGTGGCGCAGTCACTTTCGCCCCTGGCATATATCGGTTGGCTGGGAGCGAGAACGGACGGCAACACTGCGGATTTTCATTGTCCAATTTGTATGGCAAATCGCCCATCCTTTTCACAATTCTCTTCAATTCCTCCTGCATTGCAAATCATATCCAGTCCATTCTGGATCGGTGTGGAATTTTTGCTACGTCAACGTCAGGTTGTTGACATTCCATATCGCCCACCGCCTCTTTTCTCCCCCTCTCCCCTCACCTTTTTATCTCCTCTCATCCCATTCAATCTAAGGCATTGAAAGCATACCTTGCCCACAATGTCCTCACCCCCAGATATAGACCCATATGCCGTGCTTGGTGTCGCCAAGGAAGCCACCATCCCTGAAATCAGGGCCGCTCACCGAAAGCGGGTTCTCAAGTGCCATCCGGACAAGATCCAAGATGAGTCGCAGCGCATTGCTGCCCAAGATGAATTCCAGAAAGTCCAGCAAGCCTACGAACTACTCTCGGACGATGTCCGACGCACTAAACATGACCAGAAGGTCAAGATAGCCGAGCTGAAGCGGGAACTGTTGGAACGCAGACGAGCAGACCTGATGCACAACTCCTCGCGGGGAGGTGGATCCGCCAATCGCGAATTCCGCAATGGTCACGTCGTGGAGGAGAGGGCCCCAATGGAATGCTTCTTCGAGGAGGCAATGCGATTCACGGACGATCCACGACCCATGTCTCGCAAATTTGAAGAGTTCGGCGTGCGCCCAAAGACGAAGCCGACAGAAGAGAAGAAGAGGACTCGAACACCGATCAACATGTTTCACCAAGCGAAAGAAATGCGGGAGACGGTCAAAGCGACACATTCCGACCGTGCGAAGATGCGCGATCAGGAGCGACGACGACAGACCGAGGCAAAGAAGCATGGCATCTTTGAAGCCTTTGCAGGATCGGACGAGGAGACGTCTGATTCTAGCGCTCCCCATTACGTTCACACGAGACGTACTTCAACAACGCGCCGTGAACGCGAATCGCGACCTCGACCATCGGACTCCTCTCGTCGTCGTGGACGCCACTACGACGAGGATGGCAATGTCTCCGATCACTTGCAATCCAAGATCGATAGTCAGTACTATACTGCGGAGGACTACATCGCAAGCAAAGCCCGGGGTTCAAAGTCCCCACGACAGTACCATGGTCACGACCCGGCGGAACCAGAGTCTGCTTCGCGACCCGCGGGACGGTCCACCCGCACCCGCCGTCATTCTTCGTCGCGCGAGAATTCCTACGAGCATTTGGATTCGCCACGAAACTACGATGGCAAGCCACCCAAGATGCAACACTCCGCGACTTCCCCGGGGATCAAGACGTCTCTCCGTCCTGCGTTCCTCAACACTCGGTCCGCAACCACCTCTGGCTTCACCCGCGCAAAGCGGGACAGTCGCGACTCCACACTATACGAAATGGCCCACGAGCCACTGCCATCGCGGGGTTCCAAAGTGCGCGATCGCAACGACTCGGGCTATTCCAGTCCCACTACTCCCGAAATGCTCCCGAGAGGCGTTTCCCCCAAGACCTCCACCCGCTACAAGATCGTCAAGGAACCAGACCACGTCGTCGTAGAACCGAAATCATCAAAGTACCGCTCAGCAGCGAGATCCCCCGACCGGGATCGTGTACCCCCTACCCGACAGGTGCCCAAGCGAAGCAGTACCTACCAGAACTACACTTCGGAAACCTCGCCTCGGCTTGAGACTCGGTCTTCGCGGCCTGCTTCTCGTCCCCATGCGGACGTCGAATACATTTCTCGCCCGAAAGAGAAGGACATCAAGTACTCCCGGACATACAGTCAAGATGATGTCAGTTACTCGCCGAGACGCGCCCCTTACTACGACGAGGAATATCGTCCTCCTGCCGTGGGGAGACATCAGTCTGCCTATTAATTCAACCATACGACCCATGAAACATGGACACATACGACAAATCACAGCTACAATATGCTTTACATTTTATTTTTAAACTTTTATCTATTATTTCAATCTTATCAGCAAGTCGCGGCGTTTCCAATTCTCCGCTTTTCGCATGTGTCAGCTGTTCCACCGAACATTTGGGAGTACTTAGATTTCCATTCGGGCTGGTCTGGCTGTCCCCGCGCAGTCGGAGCAAGAGGGCAGGACCGGGGTATATCTTTGTCACTGCCCTTGGCGCATTAGGGCGGGCATAGGTGGATGGTGTGTTGCATCTGTCTTGCCTCAAACCCTGCACTTATGGCGTTATGAAATTGTCTTATTGGGTTTTACCTACTTCTGACTGCATTCTGCCTGCATTCTGCTTGCTCCCGTTCTCGTGTTCTTTTTCCGCGATCTTCTCTTCTCTATTTTTTTATATATATACGTTGTCGCTCCCGGGCTTCAGATCCCCCGTGGACTACCAATTGGAGAAATCCAATTCACGAATTACGCTTGTTCACATGATATGATATGCCATAACCTTGATCCTTTGTTGGTCTCTTTGTTTTCTCTATTCTTGTCCCGAGTAAGACGGATATGTTGGGCTGGGCTGGGCTGGGCTGGGACTGGGGCCACAGAAAGTGGCGGGGTAAGCCTCACACCGGTTTGTGCATGGTGATTGGATCTTCTAAGAATAGACTGTTGATGTATTTAGGCATACCTGTTCGATCAGTGCAACCTTGGAAATGTTGATAAGACTGCAACTGCCGACCTGTGTTATACTATTGGGGGCTGTTCAGCCTTGTTGGGCCGTCAAGGCTCAATACGAATTTGATTGTCACTTCCGCCCCCTTAGGAACCAACTCAATACAACAAGATTTTATTCTACCCATCCCTGGTCGTCTAAAGTCAAGAAGCTGATACGTTTTTATAGGACATATATTACATATATTATTATCCAGCACGACTTGGTTGACCTAGATGGCCAGATGCGACCTGGAATCCAAGAGATGCTGTCTAAATCTATCGATGAAGATGGCCAATATCAATGGTGAGATGTAATGAAGACAAAGTCTTTCTTTCTAGATATCTCGTCAGTCAGGCACATGACTCACACGATTTCTACTCTCGTTTGTTTGAACTATATGCTTGTTTTATCTCTCAATTCTCTGGAAACCGATAGACTGGATTTGAGGCATATTGATGTATTTACTTCTGTTAGACTCTTTTTCCATGGCATAAATAAGATTGTTATAACACACTTTTTGGAATAGAAGACTAGCTTGCTCCTTAAGGCCACCAGGCCACCGCAAGTAATTGAGCTTGTTGTGTTTCAGACTTGTTCTACGTTTCATATATTCACTTATTTAGATTTGGTAATGATGATAGAAGCCTCCTAGGAGACAATCGGATATTACATCGAGCCTAGCTCTATACGTTAATCTAGGGTGTAAGGTGATGAGTATCTGACTTGGCGAGTCTTTTGAGTGTGATGTGCACGAATTGGCCGACTACTTCCTGCCAGCTTGACCATGGTCCTCCATGGATTAATAACAGGCCATGCTATCAAGACTTAGTGATGTATCCCCATAGTCTTGTGAGTTCGCGACTCATCTCACTACTTTTATGATTCGTTTCAATGAGAACCATGATGGACTCCGACGCTCAAGAGGTTTAGGGAGGCAGATTGGCTATGGCCCGGTTACTCCAGTTTTGGTACTACTGAGCGGTTTCCTCTCATACATGCTCCATTATCAAATGCTGTCGAGTAGTCCATATGCGAGCACATACGTATTGGTGCGACGAGTTTCTATAGCATACTGGTTGCGCACGGACCAACTGCACCACTGTGGGTTCACGGGTATCTGCAGATCCCCCGCGATTTGGGAAAGGAGGCCTGGGGTTCTATCGCCTACAACTAGTTGTACTTGATGCACTCAGTACCATCTAACTTCTCTATTTCAGACTCTCTTTGCTCCGTCGTACAATGCGCCAGAATTTCCATTCTCTCCAAATGGTTATTCACGGTCCCTCGGTTGATCTGAGTGTTGGAATTTCCTCAGGAGTGGCGCCGACTCGCATAACATTCGTAGGGATGCCCATCCTTGGAAGTACTACTTCGTACAGGAGGCCACATAAACTGCCGACTTGTCTTCTTGAGGCGGTACTAACAAATGGTATACTTCATTACATGGTAATATCAATATAAAATCACAATGCGGAAATGAAGATAATCGAACCTATATACAAGAATGGGAGACACCTAGTAGTGGTATCCATATTAAGAGCAAGTCGCCAGGGTTCTAAGCCTTCCTTGGCCGAATTTACTTGCCGTGTCTAGGCGCATGCGCACCAAATGTCCGTCTTAAACAAGGACGTAGAATGCACACATCTAAAAATCACACAGGGTTAGAACTAAATATACTGGGGTGTTGCATATTCAGAGTGAAGAAGTAGGGCTTACCATAGACAGACCCAATATCATTGAGAACCAGAATACCGCATTCTAGGAAGGAAGTCAGTGAAAATCGCAGAATATTAAAGCAATCATATAACAGCTTACATTGAGGATTGTCCGGCCACGGAAAAAGCGAGACTTTTGAATCGCAACAATAGGCAGCTGAAGCATCATAGCCAGGAAACCGTATCCCCGAAGCTTCTTGGTAATGCAGCTCATAACTAGCTCGTGGAATACAGAGCTGACCAAAAATGTGATAAACATAGCCACGGGTTGAGAGAAGTTAGATCGGGCAGGCCAGTAGACATGGCGGAAGAGGAAGTGATGGACAGGGACGTTCCACTCGCGGGAAAATTCCATCCTATGTAGAAGCCGGTTAGTCATATCACTCAGACTCTTAGGAGCGTAATTTCAACTTACCAGTCACAGGAATTCCACCAGTCTGCATAGAAGTGGCGATCGGCGAACCGAGTCAGCTCTGCAAATGCACCCAGCACATATTCGAAGATGACGAGGAATACTAGCAAGAAGATAATCATGAAGGGGAAGAGGAGCATGCTGATGGTTTCAGCAAGGATGAGAGCCTTGTCTGTGACGCTAGAGACGGCACGGAGTTGGGCGCTGGCCACTGACAACACGGGGACGATGAATTCCTCGCTTGTCAGGGTGAGCAGGAAGATGCAGCCAAATACAGCAGCGGCCTTCCAGCCAATTTCTGACCAGCGTCGCTCCTTTCGGCGGGGATACTCTAGCTCATAGCAAAGAGTCGGACAAAAGAGGAAGTCCACATAATTTCCAACGTGCAGATTCTGCGGGTATGAGATGTTGCCTAGCGGGGAGGTCAACTCCGTGGCCAGGTCTTCACGCAGTCTCTCCAATGGCTCTGCGGACTGGTCTTCGTTGGGCTTCTTCATTGACGGCCGACGTCGGTGTACCTCTGGATAATGGATGGCAGCAGGGGGCTCAGGTGACTTTAGGCCTGGCTTATCGAGCGAGGCAAGGCGGCGCTCTGTCTCGCTGAGATGTCCATTATAGAAAGCGTATGAGTGCAGTTTCATCAGAATGGTCAGAGTGTGCAGCGTGAAGAACACCTGTGCAGTCCAGGTCCATTTCATCATGAAGGGCCAGCTGTTTTTCTCATGTCAGCGCTCTGAGCTCCAGCGCAAAAACCAGCTACTAACTCACTTTATCCATAAAACCAACCAAAGTGCTTCGCACAAGCTCTGTAAGAGCATACCTCCGCGCGACCATCGCAGCCACTGAGGACCACTTCGCCACAGTTGGTGCATAGGCAGGACGAGCCCTGAGCTTATCACCATGGCCGCATCGCTGAGCCCCATCCCCCACACATTGGCCGTCAAGAGACTCCAAACGCGCACCTGCAGGGGGAATCCGGTATCCTTGATATTGCGCAAGATGCTGGTCCCGACCATGATGGCCAAGCCAATCCAAAAGAGAGTGAAGAACCCTCGGAAGTTGTGATAGTCGCTATCGGGATCAAAATGTGACACACGAGGCACATAGTCTATTGTATAAAACAGGCCATTGCGGGCGCGGACTTGCTTCCTCGCGGATGAGATCGAATGCGCTGACGGGGGAGCATCTTCGGAAATAGGGGTTGAGTGGCCACTAATGTGACAAACAGATTAGCTATTTAGATCCAGTCTGGTGCAAGTTGAGAGCAAATTACCTTATATCCTGAATCAGCTTGTCCACTGGAAGAGGGTGCGCCACGTCGGACTTCCCATTCGGCTGTATCGGCACGGCGCGCGGCCGCAGAGCTGCAGACTCATCCTGTGAGACGGCGCTAGACATCCTATATGGACACAAATGCAGGAGCAGGGCGTTTGCACATCGAAGGCACTGAGATGGAAACTTAGGAACAGCTATGATTGTGGGTCAGGACTCAGGACTGTTTGAGTTTGTTTGGATTCGAAACCAAAAACACGGGCCGCTACGTCAGACTGCCTTTATATGAGACTATGTACGTTATTACATACATGTGAGCTAGGCAGAAGTATTTAGATATAAATTGTTGAATTGTTGACATGTTTACATAGAATCTGTAGTATCTTTACTTTGATACAAGCCAGCTATAGTCTTTTCTCTTGGGATAAGTATGCATTTAGATAGCTATACTGTCCTTTAGTTATACTCCCTACTATGTACATAACTATGCATGTATTGTAATTTCAAAAATCTGCCACTTATGTCATGGTTCTGCCTCAGGTGTATATTCAAAGGCGGTGTAACTGATTAGTACCAAAGAGTCAGGTGATCCAGGGTAACCAAGCTAGTCCGTTTACATACTAGTGCTCTATGCCAAGATGCCAGGTCGACTGCCATGAGGAATAATAATACAACAGTCCAGACCTCCAGACCACGGCCTTGATACTTCTTCATTTCATTGGTTTTATAAGCGCGGTGCTTGCTTCACCTTCTTGCGCCTGACTCTGTCCCTTGTCGTCCATTGAATATCTCTCTTCCTCGCCCCGTCGGGGGTCCCTCTCGCCGCCATGTCTTCCCGTAAGTGCTG